TCAAAATGGGAAGTTTCACCCCAAGCCTAAAGTGGAGGAGACAATTGTGCATTTCACCATTACAGGGTGTAAAGAATCTTCGGAGAAAAGACTGACCTCGAAAGAGGTGGGATGGATTGAAAAAGCATATAGGCAGAACTTGAGAAGACTCGCATCCCTGCAAGGCAGCACTGATGAGATTCTCACTACCAAAGGAGCAAGATATAACACGCAAGTTCTTGCTAAACCAGAAATGTAAACCACTGGAAATCGGGCAGTCATCTGGTGAGCAAACAGAGCAAAAAAGCATCAGAGAGCATAGCACTGTTGCATTTAGTGGTGTGAAGGGGAAAAATACTCTATATCTCTGTGTATTCACTTTAACTTGCATACATGGAGATTTGCCATGTTGTAACATTATTACCAGGAGATTGAACTTGTGGAGGTGATGTTACAGTTTCAGTGAAATAGCAGTTCCCCTGCTGACACATCAGTTCAGAAAGTACTGTCTAATGAAGAGGATACATGAAGAAATGACATTACACTAAGGGACATGAAGGGATATGATGGTACGTTGCTTTCCTCACAGGTTAGATAGCATTCCCATTTTCAGAAGCACAGTTGTCACTTTCCAAACCTGAACAGAAGAACCAGCAACCTCTCTTGTCTTGTGATAAGAAACATACTTGCAGACCAATTCTTGAAGAGCCAATAATTTTATCTTTTCCCTTAATGTTTTCTTAAATAAACACAAAGTGACACTGTAATGTAATTAGAGTATTTTAAAGAGAACATTTGATTTATTGCATACCTAGCATTCATTTGAGATATTGATTCCATCTCATTGCCATGGTTTTACTACAGTATATTAATTTAAACTTGATTCCTACACTGAGATCATTATGAATAGCTTCTACAATTGCTTATACAGCAAACTCAACACACTCCTGATAGTGTCTACGTTCAGGGCAATTTACCATTAGATCCACCCGCTGGCAGTTGCACCAGTGCCAAATTCAGAGTTAATATAACCTCCCTACTCCTACTTGATATTCCCCTGCTTATACATCAAAGGATCGTAGTGAATTAACTAAACGAAGGCCACAGGGGTTTAACTAATCCACTTTAAATTCACACCTTTAGTTAATTTGGATCAATTTTCCTGATTGTCCAAGTGGAGATATGCCTGAAAATTGTCAGCTCTTTGGGGCAAGGACTGCCTTTTACTACGTGCATGCTCAGTGTCCAGCACCTTGAGGTCCTGATCTAGGTTGATAATAGAAATAAGTAATCATAATAACAATGGAAATGTTTTGGAATGCTATCAAAATAATTAAATGACAAGTCCATGTCAATATTACTTTTTTATTTTTGCATAATGTGTTTCTCTCTTAACTAGAATAGAAAAAATAACTGATTTGGAGTTTCATTCATAATCCAGTCTAAAGGTTTTTTGAAGTTCAGAAGTTGCATTACTATTCTACGTTTTGTCTGGAAACAGAAATACCAAAATACTGTAACAAAGTTTTTTACTAATACTTATCACCTACATCGTTCTTTTTACCCATAGGTATCAAGGATGTTTATATAAACTTTTAAATACTGGGGGATAAATTTTGGTTATGGTGAAGTAAATGGCAATTTTGCTCTTGACTTCAATGGAGCCAGGATTTCACTTTAGATCTATTTAAAACAGAGATGGAAGTGACCTCCTTGATTCGATGGGTACACTAAACTGCTGAGGAGGTGTTGATCACCCACAGCAGCACCCTCCTCCCTAGCACCGCAGCCCTAATCCTGGTTTATGTGGGAGGGGAGGCCCTGGAGCGTGGAGGGAGTTTGGACAGCAAGCCTGACCCACACTCACCCCACAGCAGTGGCTCCTGTCCCTATGCCGTATTTGAATGGATATGTGTACATGTTTAGCAAAATAGAACTCTCTTGTTTATACTTGTAAATGAGGATACAGGAAGGGTCCAATCCTGCTATATACCAAGGCTCTCTTGAGAGGTAATGAGCATCTTCCACTCTCATTGACTACAATGCTTGGACCCTAACAGGATCTTCTAGTCACGCCAGGGATAAGTGCCTATAGGACTCCATGGATGAGACATTTCTGCACCCCATTTTATTTTCAGTAATATGTCATTCAGTCACGCTTTCAATATCTCGTCCACCTACAGCACTGGGAGGATTTGTCAGGATCCCCAGCAGCACTACAGCTATAACGAAAAAAAAGGAGGTAGACGGAGGTTTGTGTCTGGTGTTCTTGTTGAGGTGTTCAGTAAACCAAGATGTGTATTTTAAAAAATGGGTTCAAAATGACCAAAGTCCATGTTTGAACAATAAGAGGATAGCAGTAGAAATATACTTCCGAACACCTGACCGGGATGGCAGTGGTGATTGTAAAGTGCTCAGGCAGAAAGCTCAACAATAATTTGCAATTTCAGCTATACTCATGCTGACTGGGTATGTGTCACCTCATGAAGGAATGCAGAGAGAAAATTTCCAGATACATTAAATGACTGTTTCTTGGAGCAGCTGGTCCTGGAACCCACCAGGGGACAGGCAATTCTGGATTTAGTCCTAAGTGAAAGGCAGGATCTGGTCCAAGATGTGAATGTAGATGAACCACTCAGTAATAACAACCATAATGTAATTAAATTTAGCATCATCGTATGGGGGAATACCAAAGAAACCCACTGCAATAGCATTTTACTTCAAAAAGGGGAGCTACACACAAATGAGGAAGCTAGTTAAACAGAAAAGGAACAGTCCAAAAGTGAAATGCCTGAAAACTGCATGGAGACTATTTGTAAACACTATACTAGATGCTCAAACTAAATATATACCCCAAATAAAAAACAAAAAAAATGAAACCAAGTACCAAAAACATACCACTGTGGCTAAGCAGCAGAGTACAAAGGCTGTTAGTAGCAAAAAGGCATTCTTTAAAATTTGGAAGTCCCAAATCTTGGTGAGAAAAATGGAAAGGAGCATAAACTCTGGCAAGTTAAGTGTAACAGGATAGCAACACAGGCTAAGAAAGTTTCTGTGTCCTTATCTACTTGTTGTTCAAATTCTAACATTTTTTTAAGTACATCAGAAGCAGTAACCCTGCCAAACAGTCAGTTGGGCCGCTGGACAATTGGGGTGCTAAAGGAGCATTCAAGGAAAACAAGGTCATTGCAGGGGAAGCTGAATGAATTCTTTGCATCAGTCTTCATTCCAGAGGGTATTGGAGAGAGTCCCACAGCTGAGCCACTCTTTTTAGGTGACAAATCTGAATAACTGTCCCAGATTTAAATATTAATAGAGGACAGTTTGGAACAGATTGATAAATTAAATAGCAGTAAGTCACCAGGACTGAACAGTATTCACCCAGAGTTCTGAAGGAACTCAAATATGAAATCGCAGAACTGCTAACTGTGGTTTGTAACCTACTGCTTAAATCAGTCTCTGTTACAGATGACTGGAGGTTAGCGAATGCCACACCAATTTTTATAAAAGGCTCCAAAGGTAATCCTAGCAATTACAGGCCTGTAAGTCTAACTTCAGTACCAGACAAAATGGTAGAAACTATAGTAAAGATCAGAATGATCAGACACATAGATGAACGTGGTATGTTGAGGAAGAGTCAACGTGGTTTTTGTAAAAGGAAATCATGACTCCATATTGGACTTCTTTGTTGGAGTCAACAAGAATGTGGAAAAGGGTGATCCAGTTGATATAATGTATTGTACTTTCAGAAAGCCTATTGTACCTTCAGAAAGCCATGGGCTCTTAATCAAAGTAAGTAGTCATGGGATAAGAGGGAAGGTCCTCTCCTGGATCAATAACTGGAGAGAGGGGAAAAGGTCAGAATAATCAGTCATTTTTCACAATGCAAAGAGGTAAATAGTGGGGTACCCCCAGAATCTGTACAGGGACCTGTGCTATTCAACATATTCATAAATGATTTGGAAAAGGGAGTGAACGGTGAGATGACAAAAATTTGCAGATGACAGAATATTACTCAAGCTGTTTGGTAGCTTGGGGGGGAGTGGAGAGCAGCAAGCGGTGGGCGGGCAGGCAGGGGCCTCAGAGAAGGGGTGGAGAGGGGGCTGGAAGAGGCGGAGTGAGGGGTGGGGCCTTGGGGGAAGGGGCAGAGTGAGGGCAGGGACTCGGGGTGGAGCAGGGGCCTATGAAGGGACAGGTAATAGAACAGAAAATATCATAATGCCACAATAGAAATCTGTGGTTTGCCCACACTTTGAATACGGTGTGGAGTTCTGGTCACCTCATTTCAAAAAGATAAATTAGAATTGAAACGGTATAGAGAAAGGCAAAAAAAAAATAGAACAGCTTCCATAAGAGGAAAGATTGAAAAGACTGGGACTGTTCATCTTAAGGAAGAGGTGACTAGGGGGAATATGATAGAGGTCTATAAAATCATGAATGGGGTGGAGAAAGAGAATAGGGAAGTGTTATTTACACATTCACATAAACACAAGAACATGGGGTGACCGAATGAAATTAATTGGCAGCAAATTAAAGCAAACAAAAGGAAGCACTTCTTCACAGAACACACAGTCAACCTGTGGTACTCATTGCCATCGGATGTTGTGAAGGCCAAAAGTATAACTGGGTTAAAAAAATAATTAGATAAGTTCATGGAGAATAGGTCCATCAATGCCTGTTAGCCAAGATGGTCAGGGATGCAATCCCATGCTTTGGGTATCCATAAACTTTCCACTGTCAGAAGCTTGGACTGGACAAGAGAGGATGGATCACTCAAAATTGCCCTGTTCTGTTCATTTCCTCTGAAACATCTGGCACTGGCCAGTGTCAGAAAACAGGATACTGGGCTAGATGGACCAGTTGTCTGACCCTGTAAGGGTACTCTTAATATCTTTAAACCGAGGGCTGTTTTATGAGAATTTCTTCCCATGGATCAGCTGAACCGTATAATTTAGGACTCTAATGTTAGTGAGCTTACATAAGAAAGCGAGAATAATAGAGTTCCTTCATTTTGCTTGCAGATTTTCAGGCGATGCTGGTTGGTTTTCAAGAAGGCTTCTAGTAAAGGACCCAGAAGGCTTGAAAAATTTCCAGATGAAAAAGCGGCATATTTCAGAAATTTTCATAAGGTAGGTCATGCCCTCCTACAAGTGTACATCTGCTTGGGCATAAGGTGCTTCTGATATGTAAACTCTGGATAAAGATAGCATGACCAAGCTGAAGGGTGTGATCCTGAGATCACTGAAGTTAATGGTAAAATTCCTATTGATGTCAGTGTTGAAGAATCAGAACTTTGTTTCTGTCCAGATAAGCAAAAGAAGTTTATTCTCTTTGATATAAGTATCTGATCTCTACATTAATGTTTGCCTTGAAAATATGAGACTGAATTTACTAAAATTTTGTACAAGGGTGTTTATGTCAAATATTCAACAATTATAAATTAAACATCAAACCAATTTCAGAAGATGCTAAATGTACTGGTTGTAAGTTCTAGTGAGATCAATACTGCTGGAATATTAAACATAATTTTCATAAAAATCATAATTTTTCATAGAAAACAGCACAGTGGGGATTTTTTTTGAGAGAGAGAAAAAAATCAGCATTATTACTAAATTGGCAGTCTTGATTGAATGAGTTCCTTATTGCTTTCTATTTGTCACAATCAGTTCTGTGGTGGAACCCAAGATATTTGAGAATGGGCTTTCCATTCCTTTTGCTCCAGATTCTTAACTCGCCAAGTGGTGCAGCAGCAATGTAATAATAAAATGACATAATACGTTTCATTTCTATAACCATCTTCTGTCCAGGGATCTCAAAAGGCAGGATAAACATTTGGATTTAACCTCACAACAGCTCTATAAATTAGACATTACCTCACAGTTAGACATTACCTCATTAGCTCAGGGTCAAACTGAAGCACAGAGGTGACTTACCCAAGATTGCACAGTGAGACTGTGAAGGACTCAGGAGTAAAAATCCAGATCTTCTGAGATCCCAGTCTTGTGCTTTCCGTCACAGGAGGACAAATTCACATTTCAGTTCTGATGAACTGGGTCCACCTTTTGGCACCTGTCACAAGGGAAACAGATCAGGTGGGTCACCTACTATTTCCTGGTGGATATTTGTTCACCATCCCCTTTTCCCCACCCAATACACAAATATTTGGCATTAGTGGAAGTCGCTGTTAATGAGAGGCCCAGTACTCATATAACTATGATGTTGTGGGTTAGGATCAGAGCTCTGTAAGGAATTTTCACATTGCCCAGTGCAAGTCACTGATCTAGTATTCTCATTCTTAGATGTACCAAGTCCCCACCAAGCAAAAATAGTCCTCCTCCTCTTTAAAATGCAAGTGGGACAGTTTGAATTGGAGATGTAGGGCAAACACCTTCCCCTTCTTTCTGGGCTGCTATTATTGTCTATTTAAATTCTCTTTAAGTAACGTTGTAGTTTTTGATATCTAAAAATGACTACACTGCTTTATCATTAATCAGAGGCAATTATGTCCACTATTGTTCATTTTACTGCATTAACATGATTCCTCTATATCCCTTTATGTACTTTATATTCCATTTATTTCCATCAAATATCCACAGATGGCTCACAACTGACAACAAGAATGACTTGCATAGAAAACAGCTGTGATGTCACAATAAAATTACATCTCCAGATAGTGAAATAAGGAGTAGGAGTAGACAAACTCTTCGGAAGCAAATATCTCTTTTACTTGAAAATGTCTTTATTGATGAAAAAAGCAGGACAGGATTTAAAAAAAATAGATTAAAATGACTAATATTTAGAAGTACCTTTCATCCAGAAGGCACCAAAGCACTTTTCAAGATGATTTGTCAGCTGTATATTTTATAGAAGAAACAATTATTTAATAGGGCATCAAAATAGTATAGTCCTGTAGGACAGGATGTGAAGAGTAATACCTTGTCCTGTTTCCATGAGTGGTGGAATTTTATTATGCGTGGAATATATGTGGAATATAATTATCTAAGTACAAATTTAATCATGTCACCAGGGTGACATCCCCACTTTGTAAAAATTGTCATTAAATCAGTACACACCACAAGCAAACAAGAGTTAGAGAATTTACTTCTCATCCACAACAACATTTCAGAAAGCTTCCATGAGGCACGAGTAGCTTATTAAGAAGAGCTTAATGGCAAGTAGTCAATGGGGGGAACTTGGTTTCTTTCTTTGTTAGATTTGTTTAGACATCTTCTGTTCATTGTGTCAGACTGACCCTGTGGAATGATTTTGATGTGTGAGCTTGGTGTGACTGGTATAGATATTATTTTTACAGATTACCAGTCATTTTGTGTTGGAGTTTATTGCTCTCTCTGCAGTTGTGATAATTGTTTAGTTAGTATTCTTATTTATTATTTGTATTACCGTAGTGTTCAGAAGTCCTTATTAGACCAGGATCCCATTTGCTAGGTGCTGTGTTCTTGTTTTGGTATTTCTTCAGATCTAGTTTCTTGACACATAATTCTTTTGTAGCTAGTACAAGATTAATTGTCTTTGGCTCAAGAAATAAGATGTTAACCATAAGGGTTTTTTTCTTTGTCTCTACACTTGAGATTTTAATAAAATATGGTCAGTTGCATTGTAGCATTCTAACAATGCTAAATATGGATCCTTTTAAAATTTTTGCTATTTGGACAAACTTCTGCTAATTCATTTTGATTGTCTAGTAAGGGCTTGAGGTGATGTGATTGAACTGATGTGTATATATATATATATATAAAAAGGATAAAGCGAATCTCACAAATTTAATGTCAGTATTTGTTATTAACTCATCTAGAAACCCAGCGGGAACAAATTATGAAATGCAACATGTTGTGCAACTATTCAGTTTCAAGAAAAAATAGAAGTGGTCTGCTATTCAGTGGTAATCTTTCCCATTTAATTCAAATAGATCTGCACCAACTGCAGACTGAAGGCAATTACGAATATCATGAAATTTCAGAGATTATTTTGCATTCTGATTCCTTTACTGAGTGCATATTTCACCCATGGATACCATATCTTTGATGGCAGCATTCACAACTGTCCAAAATGAGACATTTCGGACTCTGTTCTTATATTTTTCAGTACCCACAGGTGCATTGTTGATTATGCTTAGCATTTCTTAACTCATGCTGTATTGTATTATGACACAATGTCCTCTGTGTAGAAATTTCATCTCTAGTACCAATATGCTTTTGTGCTTGATAACTGATGGTGGTGGTTGTTTTTCCTCTCTGTCATCTGTCTAGGGTTAATCTCTCAATCTCTTGTAAAATCAGGTCATTTTGTATTTTTTTCAGCTAGTCTTATCAAACTTTTTCAAAACAGCACATGAATTATATTTATTTCAGTGTCTTTTTCCCACAGTTCCTTGCTGTCCCTATTTATAGTTGTTCTTTAAAGAATACTGGCATAAAGAGCTCCTTACCAAGCCTATGTTTCACAGATAAGGAAGCTTTTGCAATTTCTTGATCACTTTCTGAATTTTAGGTGGTACTTAGAACAGTGGTTTCTTTAATATGGATTCTAGTGGTTTATGGCATGTCTTCCCTCAGCTGATTTCTTCCTATTAACATACTTATAAAACAGCTCCCAACAATGCACAACATTGTCAGCATTTCTTTTTTAATCTGAGCATACTTCTGTTGCGTTTAAATCAGTGCTTAGGAACTATTCACCACTGGACAGTTGTCTTGGAGAACAACAGTCCCCAGTCCAGGTGATCTTGCACTGATTTTAGGCTCTTCGTTAATATCAAAGTATTTCAGAACAAGTGGTTCCCTGACAAATTTAAATTCCCTAAGGCATTTTTCTTGCAATCATCCCTTGACAATCTGTACTGTCCTCAGATGACATAATTTGAACATTTATTTGTGAAAATTGAGTGATTTTTGTTTGTTATAAGATGTGAATTTTAGGCCTCCATATTTAGGCACTTTCTGTTTGCACAATTACCTATCCTATGTCCACTGTCCTTTTTAGAACATAAGAATGGCCATACTGGGTCAGACCAAAGGTCCATTCAGCCCAGTATCCTGTGTTCTGACAGTGGCCAATGTCAAGTGCCCCAGAGGGAAAGAACAGAACAGGTAATGATCGAGTGATCCATTCCCTGTCGCTCATTCCCAGCTTCTGGGAAACAGAGGCTAGGGACACCATCCCTGCCCATCCTTGCTAATAGCCATTAATGGACCTATCCTCCGTGAATTTATCTAGTTGTTTTTTTAACCCTGTTATAGTCTTGGCCTTAACAACATCCTCTGGAAAGAGTTCCACAGGTTGACTGTGCGTTGTGTGAAGAAATACTTCCTTTGTTTGTTTTAAACCTGCTGCCTATTAGTTTCATTTGGTGACCCCTAGTTCTTGTGTTATGAGAAGGAGTAAATAACACTTCCTTATTTACTTTCTCCATACCAGTCATGATTTTATAGACCTCAATCATATCCCACCATAGTTTTCTCTTTTCCAAGCTGAAAAGTCCCAGTCTAATTAATCACTCCTCATATAGAAGCTGTTCCATACCCCTAATCATTTTTGTTGCCCTTTCCTGAATCTTTTCCAATTCCAGTATATCTTTTTTGAGATGGGGCGACCACATCTGCACACAGTATTCAAGATGTGGGTGTATCATGGATTTATATAGAGTCAATATGATATTTTCTGTCTTATTATCTATCCAGTTCTTAATGAGGCCCAACATTCTGTTCGCTGTTTTGACTGCCACTGTACATTGAGTGGATGTTTTCAGAGAACTATCCATAATGACTCCAAGATCTCTTTCTTGAGTGTCAACAGCTAATTTAGACCCCATCATTTTATATGTATAGCTGGGATTATGTTTTCCAATGTGCATTACCTTGCATTTATCAACATTGAATTTCATCTGCCATTTTGTTGTCCAGTCACCTAGTTTTGAGAGATCCTTTTGTAGCTCTTCGCAGTCTGCCTGGGACTTAACTATCTTCCCTAAACATACTTTCCAAATAACTGATCTCATTCATCCAATCTGGAATGTATTCATATTCAAGTCAAGTTTCTTCTGACTAGCATATTGCAGAATATTTCAATATTTTATTATGTTGTTGCTTATGTTTTATCCCAATCAGCAGTT